CAGACATGGTGCTAGAGAAGGAGCTAAGAGCTTTACATCTTGACCCATAGGCAACAGGAAGTGGTCTAAGACACTGGACATGGCTTGAGCAAACATGAGACCTCAAAGCTCACCTCCACAGTGGCATACTTCCTCCAACAAGGCCATACCTACTCCAACAAATCCACATCACCTAATGGTGCCATTCCCTTTGGGGGGCCATTTTCATTCAAACCACCACAAGGTACCCAACAGTGATGTTCAGAAAACCATGGAAAGAAAGGCCTAGAACAGTGATTCTCAATCTGTGGGTTGAGACCCCTTTGGGGGGTTGCAAATTAGATATCCTACATATCAGATATTTACACTGTAACTCATAACAGTAGCAAATTACAGTTATGAAGTAGCAATGAAATAAGTTGATGGTCGGGGGTCACAACATGAGGAACTGTATTAAAGGGTCACAGCATTAGGAAGGTTGAGAACCACTGCTCTAGAAGAAAGACAAGTGCTGGTGTCTGCAGATCCTCTGACTACACTGGAAACCTGAAGGATTCTACAGATGCATTAGAACTAAGGAGAACATCTATGGAGAAGTATGAACTTAAGATCAAGCCACATATCAAAAAATCAATTGCAAGCTGGGCATGATAGCACAGACCATTAATCACTCTGGAGGCAGAGACAGGAGAATCTCCATGAGTTTGAGGCTCCGTGAGATCCTGTTTCCAAAAGAGAAAGAAAAAAGAAATGATGGAGAGAGGAAGGGAAGGAGATATTTTAAAGTGTACTGCTTGCATTAGAAGTCAAAAATAAGTCAAAAATAAGCCAGTAAAATGGCTCACCAGGTAAAGGGTGCTTGCCACTAAGCCTGATGATCTGAGTTCAATTGCCGGGACCCCCAAAGTAGAAGGAGAGTATTCCTAAAAGTTGTCCTCTGACCTACAGACACACACACACACACACACACACACACACACACACACACACACACACACATAATATAATTTTAAGTTTCTGCATAAGAGACCTGGAAAGGGTACAGCTTAGTGTAAGACACTGTGCTTAGCATGTACCTAGCTTGGGTTCAGTTCTCAGAACCAAAGAGTAAAGGACCTGACATAGCTCCCAAAGGGTGTACAGAGTTTATGGAGAAAATGTAGATGTAAATAAACAAGATGATATGTGCCATGTTTATACGCAGCGTTCATGAAAGGAAAGATGTTTTATAAGACCTCTATTCTCTTAAAATTGATTCATAGATTTGAATATGAAGCCACCTGAAAATACAATTCAAAAATTTGTTAGCAAAGAGATTGAAGACAAAAAACAAACAAACAAACAAACAAAAACATGAAGAGCAAAAGTGGTGGGTACATCTCAAATATCAGGATAGCTAAGAGCGCCCCATGATTTCAGCCCAGGGACCAACCTGAATACTGACCCAACAGAAGAAAACCAGAATTCAACCCTCACATCACCACACTATGACAGATAGACAGGGACAGTTCTGGAAATCTGCAGAGTGAAGGGCCCATGAGATGGCTCAGCAGGTAAAGGCGCTTGCCACACAAGCCTGGTGACCTGAGTTTGATTCTCTAAACAAACCTAAAGGCAGAGGAAGAACACAGACGCCACAGAGTGGTCCTCCAGCCTCCACATGTTGGCAGTGGCACAAACTCTCCCACCCCCACATCATATACACAGAAAATAAATCTTTTAAGAAAGACAATGCAACAGAAGCTGCTCATTATTCCTGTGCATTAAAGAAAATCCTTAATTCATGCCACACACAAAAATAGATTCCAGAGAAAGATTTAAATATGAAATGCAAACTAGTAAGTCTGAGGGAACAAAGGGTAAAAAATGCTTAATGGCATGTGCATGTGTGTGTGTGTGTGTGCGTGTGTGTATGTGTGTGCATGTGTGTATGTGTGCATGTGCATGTATATGTGTGTGCATGTGTGTATGGGTGTACATGTGTATATGTGTGTGCATGTGTATGTGTGTGTGTGTGTGTGTGTGTGCGTGTGTGTATGTGTGTGCATGTGTGTATGTGTGCATGTGCATGTATATGTGTGTGCATGTGTGTATGGGTGTACATGTGTATATGTGTGTGCATGTGTGCATGTGTGTATCTGTGGTGTGTATATGTGTGTGCATGTGTGTATGTGTGTATGTGCATGTATATGTGTGTGCATGTGTGTATATGTGTGTGCATTGTGTATGTGTGTATGCATGTGTATATGTGTGTGTGTAGTATTTATGTGTGTTTGTGCATGTGTGTATGCATGTGTATATGTGTGTGCATGTGTATGTGTGTGATGTTCATGTATATGCATGTGTATATGTGTGTATGTGCATGTATATATGTGTGTCCACATATGTATGCATGTGTATATGTGTGTGCATGTGTATGTGTGTGTGTGTGTGTGTGTGTGTGTGTGTGTGTGCGCGCTCCCATGGGTGTGGCTGTGGGTGGGTGCCCATGTGTGAGCAGGCACAAGTGGATATGTATGAGGACGTCAGAGGCTGACACTGGGTGTACTCTCCCCCTCATTTTTCAGGACAAGTCTCTTCCTGGACCTGGAGCTCACTACTTTGGCTCCACTAGCCAGCCAGTGAGCTTCAGAAACCCTCATGTGCCTAGCCTTTAATGGCTGAACCATTTCTCCAGCCCTTTGTTGGCCCCTTAAAGGCTGGTTCTGAGGCCTGAACTCAGGTCCTCATGCTTGTGCGGCAAGCGCTTTACCAACAGAGTCATCTTCTCCGCCCCTGAGAAAAAGTCTAAGGAAAACAGAAAGCAGCAGTCACAGAGGAAATAACTGACAAATGTAAGGACATTAAAGTAAAGATGTTTCTATTCCTCCTAAGATGCTATAAATAACCTGGAAAGACGAGCTACAAATTGGGAAAAGATATTTGCAATTCATATGTGACAAATGATTATTATCCTGAATATATAAAGAACTCCTAAAAACCACTAAGAAAGCAACCCAAAAAACCTAACAGAAAATGAGGTGAAAGATGTGGGCAGGCATTTCTTGGAAGAAGAGGCCTGAATGCCAATCATGACAGGAAAATGTGTCCAAACTCATTAGCACTCAGAGGGATGCAAATGAAGTCTATAGAAAATCACCATTTCATACAAACCAGCTCAGCAAAGGGAAGGAAGGAGGCTGCGAATTTTAATTCTGATGTACAGCAATGAAGTCCTTCCCACAAGAAGGGGAGAGCAAAACTGCTTTGGAAGACATCCTAGTCCTGTCTCTGAGGCTGAAGGAGACATACTTCCAGTCATCCAGTGAGTCTACTTCTAGGATCTCATATGCAGGAGTGTCTATAAAAACCTTCGTAAAAGTGCCTCATGGGAGCCTCGCTGTGGTAACAGGAAGCCAGTAGCAGCAAACAGTCACAAAGAACATAACTGTGAAGTAATCACACAATGGAGAACTATACATCAGAGAATAGTAGTGAACTACAGCAAAGCCAAATGTCCACATGGGCAAGTATGAGAATGTGACACTGGCTTGAACAACAGAGTGTGGGTTCCTTCTTATAAAGCTGGAAAATGAGTAAAATTATATAATGTGTTCCTTGGGGGATAAGTGCATGTGGTATAACTGGCCTTAAAAGGTCAGAGAGTTAGAGAGATAGACTGGAGACATGGCTCAGATGTTCAGAGCCCACTACTCTTTGTTGTTTGTTTTCTGTTGCTTTGTTTTTGTGAGGGGTGCTGAGGTTAGAACCCAGGATGTCCTATGTGCTGGGTAAGCACCCTGCCACTGTACCACCTCCCAGAACATGCTGCTTTTGCAGAGGACCTGGGTTCAGTTCCCAGCACCCATGGCAAGTCTGGGGAAACCCAATGCCCTCTACTGTCCACCTTGGGTACTGCAAGCACATGATGCACATACAGACACACAGGCAGACACACATAAAATAAAATCTTTTAATGAAAAGACCAGATGATTGTGAATAAAGTTTCTGGGAGTATTTATATGAGAGGGTGACAGGGGTGTAGCTGGGAAGCAGCTCTCCTCTACAGTTCTGAACAGTCAGCAGCAGTTCACCGGTATTCAGTACTCTTATGGCTTTAGTCATAAACAATGTCTCAGTGGTATTCCCTATTTTCTTTCATATAAATCAACACTTGCCCGGGTGGTGGTGGTGCACGCCTTTAATCCCAGCCCACAAGAGACAGAGGTGGGTGGATCTCTGTGAATTGGAGGCCAGTGTGGTCTACAGAGTGAGTTCCAGGACAGCCAGGGCTACACAGAGAAATCCTGTCTCAAAATATCAAAACAACAACACTAAACAAAGTAAAATGGTGGAGAACAAAAGTCAGGGCATAGCTCCTAGCAGCTAACCCACTCGGCTCTGGCAATCAACACACAACACCAAGTGATTCACATATACTATCTCATTTGGGCATCATAGCAACCCTGGGGAGAATTGGTCTACAAGCAGAGATGACCTTCTTCCCACTTTATATGTGAAGAAATAGATGTCTAGAGAGCTTAATTAAGCAACTTGCCCTAAATCACACAGCCTTATAAAGAAGAGATTCCAGAGGCCAGTCCGGGTCTGCGTGACTACAGACTGGTTGTCTCCACATCCTCAGCTACTGGACCCCAGTCTGGCAAACAGTAAATGCCCAATAGGAGGTAGGGTGTGCCCATAGTCTCACTGCTGGGCTGGCAGAGTTCCTGTAAGACCCTGTAAGCACAGTGTCAACACACCCTGTATATTCTTTGGATTTCTGGGCCAATATTGATAAACAGAAGGCAGGATAGCCTTGGCAGGGCTCTGTAGGAAGACGCCATAACCACACCTCCTAAGGGCTGGCTACAGGTGTGCCTGACCACGCCTGTCAGGGCGTGGTCAAGGTAAGGTCAGGATGACTCGTAATAGGTTTTTAAGGGGCTGCAAAGCACATGGGAGACCCTTCTCTCTGGCCTGCCTCCATATTTATATGTCCTGTGACTGTGAGTCTGGGGGTTGGGAGGGCCTGTACTTACCCCGGGGACTATAGGCAGGAGCATCCATGAAGGACAGGCCCAGCCGCTCATCCTCCTGCAGGGTGCTCTGGTCTGTGAAGCTTCGGTCCACGGCACCCATCATGTGCGTCTTCTCCTGGCGGTAGTTGACGGTGGCCTTAGTCATATTCACTGGCTTCCTACAGAAGGGGACAGTTGGAGACACAGGAACTGTGGGTGAGGCCAACAGCAGCCAGAGGTGGGAGGGAAGGCCCAGCTCTGAGCCTTGGGATCAGGAGTCAGCAGCATTGCAAATGTATCTCTGGCTACAGAAGACACACAGCCTATACTCTCCACTCACCAGCCAATAGCAGCCATGAGAGCTGGGACCCAGTTTCCTATCCCTTCTGGCTCCAAGGTCTCAGGAGACAAAGCACCCGTTCACTCTAGACCTAATTAGGTGCCACTGCAGAGCCACCATCTCACAAACCAGATTAACCCAGACAACCACAAATACCCACCTCCTGCAAGAGCCCTGCCTGGGAGCTCCCTCTATCCTGCAGGAGGAGAACCAGGCCTTCCAAGAGTAGGCCAGGGTCTGCTCTGCCAGCTCAGGGGTCTCCCAGGGAACACCAGTGGTGGAATCCTATCACCCACCTGCCTGGCCAGCAAGTGAGTGTAGCAGGGGAAGGAGAAAGCAGCCCTGCCTGGGCCACTTCACGGGTGGAGACCTCAGGCTGTGACTCTCAGCCTTGGGGAAGATGGGAGGCAGAAGCACAGCTCTGTGGCTGGAAGGGCAAGGTGCCTACACAGAAATGACCTGGGGCCCATGTGGAGGCTTGAAGACTCTGCCACGCTGTCTGAACAAGAGAACCCTTCGGTGAGTGGATACTGGCCTAGAAGGCAGTCTCCGGTGGTGAACCACAAGGCTCTGATCCCAGTCAGGGGCTCTCAGCCTCCTTGGAAAAACTACCAAAACAAATTCGTCAGATCCACAGGAGACAGAACACGGGGGCTGACAGGAGACACCTGACTCCACCGGCCTCCAGCTGATCTCAGTGTGAGAGGAGGTGGATGGAATTACGTACACACTCAAAAAGTTCTGAATTTAGGTTCAAAGATTATCTACATGGAGTCACGGGGAGGAAAAGCAGCCGTGTCAGCAATTCCTTGGAGTGAGGGGAGGAAAACTGGGGGCTGGTACTGGGAAACCAGCAGGGTGAGGGACAGGTTCGAGAAGCATGGGGGCAGGGGAGGCAGTGAACCTCACCGGAGAGAGTTCACCGGGCCCAGGAAGCCGATGTGAGGGGCAGAGTGTCTGGGAAGGAGTACAGAGCCAGCTGAGTACAGGAGCCTTGCTGTGGCAAAGGGGAAAGATACCACAGGGAGGGGAGGCCGTGGAAAGGGGCTGGCATTGACAGCGGGGAAGACGGAGTGGGTAGAGAGAAAGAGATCGGGGGAGGGCAGGTCCTGGGAGCCTGGGGTGGTCAGAATTACTCACGGATAGTAGGAGTAGGCATAGCGGTCTCTCCTGGCAGCATGCAAAGAGAAACAGCAATGTGACCAGGCTTCCCCCCCAGAAGGAAGGGACCATACAGATCAAGGGGCCATCCTCAGTCTAAAGACTGACCAGACTCAGTCACTGTGCGTTCAGACTAAAAGCCCTTCCTGAATCTTCCCTCGGTGTGCTGCTGCAAGAGGTAAAGAGTCTGAGGGATGGATGCACAGCTTTTGCAAGCACACATACATGTGCAGACATACATACACACATAGTAGATAAATTCACATATACATACACTCATACACAGAAACACACACTGGCACACACGTACTCAAAGGCACTTTCCCCCATCCCTGCCTGCTCTGGCCTTTGCAGACAGCTCCCACCCTCAGGCTTTCCTCTGCAGTCTCCACACCCCTGAGCAGGCAGCCACGCACATACACCTCAGCCTAGGAAGGAGAATAGCTAGGGTCAAGGAGACAAAGGGTGGAGAAGCCTCAGCAGGGTGGAGAAGCCCCAGCAGGGTGAGAAGCCCCAGCAGGGTAGAGAAGCCCCAGCAGGGTGGAGAGGCTCCAACAGGTTAGAGAGGCCCCAGCAGGGTGCCTAGGCAAACCCAGGGCCCACTCTTCCCACCTTGACTGACTCTGACTATGGGGTTCCTTAAGGAACCAGGCCACCCTCTCTCTGGGCAACCAAAGCTTGTGTGAAAAGCCTCGCATTGAACTAAGACTGCCACTGCTACACTTGCCTAGCATGCTCAAGGCTCAGGGCCCAATCTCCCAACACTTTAAAAAAAAAATCCCATTTCATAGATGAGGCCACTAAGTCACAGGTTGTCATGGCAAAGGCCAGAGTCCCCCAGGTCTCAGAATATTTGTCTTGGGACCCTGGTCAGGAACTCCCTCAGTGCTCACTACCAGGGCAGGCCCAGGGGTGGGTGCTGTGTCTCCTATTCAGTCTGTTACATGTGTAACACAGGCTGATCTGAAACCTGTTCAGACCCCACAATGCAAACTGGGGGGGGGGGGCGCTTCGGAGTGCACTGACTCCCTAAAGTCATGACCAGGGGGAACAGTGACAGGCCACAGTGGAAAGGAGTGGTTTTCAGAGGAAGTAGCAAAGTGCAGTTCTGGGGAAAAGAATGGTCCTAGGGGCTTCCAAGACAGCCTGAACAGGTATTGATGTACTAGTCAGAGACTGTTTAATGAGCGCAGTCTCCTAGTGACACCCTGGCTACACCTATGACCCACCCTGTCCTGGCCAAGGCTCTGTTTGATATCCCACATGGCCAATTCTCTCCCCTCAAGGAAGATCTCTAAGAACTCATATACACCCCAGCAGTCCCACTTATCGCCTCCTACACACACACTCTACTTAGAGGACCCCGCAGGCCTCTGCTGGGCACAAGTGCAGAGATCCGCCATTGGCAGGGAGCCTTCGCTTCTGTAGTGAAGTTCAGAAGCAGAACAAGCCCCAGCACTTTACCTGGAGACACGGGCAACTCGCTTTGATTACAGCTTCTCCACCAGAGAAAAGGGAGTCAGGCCTGCTATTTGTCAGGATCCAAGAAGGAAATGTTCTCGGATAGACCCCAAGTGCCAGAACCTTGCCTGGCACATTCTGGGTACTCAGTAACTAATGCTCCTGGCACACAGTCATCCCTCATTAAGTGATCGCTAAAGATAGTGTGTCTCAAGACACCATTCTTCGACTTCAGAAGAAAAAAAAAATCTGAGCCAGAGCCCAGGATAGGCCATCCCACACACAATCTCCATTCCACTGGCATACCCCATCTCTATCGCTGATGGCCCTAGCCAGCTCTTTGTCCCCTCCCTGGATCCTACTTATCTGCTCCTGGCAGCCGAGAGAGCCAGTGCCAACCAGCCTGCATGTGCCCAGCCTGGCAGCAGTAGGGGCTACAGAAGCCAGAGTCCAGATGGGGAAGGATGAGGCTGGCTCTGCCTCTGGCATCTAGGGTGACCTTGGGCAGGCCCACTGCCTCCTCTAGGGCTCAATTATGGTGCTTGAGCCACCATGTTCTGGAGATGCCTGGAGAGAATGGGGTAGTATATGGCTGCAGGCAGAGGGGTCTCAGGAATTCCCACCCTGCCTCCAACTCTTGCTTAATTCACTGGGCTCCAGGTGGGGAGGTTGTTTTTGTTTTGGAGCTTTTAGTTTTTGTTTTGTTTTTGAAACAGGATCTCATGTAACCCAGGCAAGCCTTGAACTCAGCGGAGATGACAAAGATGGCCTTGAACTTTTGATCCTCTGCTGTCCATCTCTGGAATGTTAGGGTGACACATGTGAGCCACCATTTCTAGTTTATACCAGGCCAGGAGCCAAACCTAGGGCTCTGTGTATGCTAGGCAAGCACTCTGCAAAGTGAGGGGATCATCGGCTTTGACAGGCTCTGTCGATTTGAAACCATTCTAAACACTAGACCAGATGTCCTTCAACTCCCTGGCAGCTCTCTCACTCTGGGGCTCTGAGTTTGCACAGTCATGGCAGATACCTTGGCTAGAGGGCCAAGTCAGTCAGGTCGCCACTGTGCCTTCCTATTGGAACAGCCCCTGTAGGGCAAAGGAGGGCAGTGCCTGCTTCCAGCGCAGCTCCTTGGCACCAGGTAGAGTACCCGTTCCTGGATAGTGGCTCCTGGCACCAGCCAGACCTGTGATCCAGCCACAACAGTGGCCTTTGCTGAGTCCCTGACTCCCACTGGCCAGCGTGTGTTCATCCACAGGCCCAATGCCCAGGCTGGCAGCCCTCCACAAACTTCACCACCAGCAGGGGCTGCTCTACCAACCCCAGCCATGGCTCCTCTGTACCCAGCAGGCCTCCCAGGGGTAGGAAGCCCCTGGTGGGCCAGGAGCACTGGCCCTACTCACCCTTTGCGAATGATGACAATGATGGCCCCCAAGAGGAGAATGAGAACAGCAAGGCCACCTGCACAGATGCCCAGGATGAGCCCCATCTCCTCCGATCTCTGGGACACTTCGAGTGGTCGCTTGCTTTCCTTGCAAGCAGCTGGGGAGAACGAAAAAGACAGAGGATCAGAGGCCACCTGGCCCTACAGGCCAGGGTCTGAGCACTGAGGCACTGATCAAGCTGCCCAAACACGCATGTGCCAAGGCCCCAGCACTGTACCTAGACACTGCCCCACCTTTCAGTCAGAGATCTGTCTCCTCACCCCACTCTCAACCAATAGCCTGCTTTCCATATTCCAGGTCAGTCTCTCTCAGCCTGCTCTCCTCCTCTTAGTCCCCCTAGAGCCACCCCACCCCCCACCCTCAGCATCTTCATACAGAGAACTGGAGACTCCCTGGGCCTTCAGACCAACCCTCTTGCCCTCCTGCCAGGTGATGGAGGAGGAAAGTACAAGTGACACAGATGGGACATCCCATGAGTAACCAACCACATTCCATGTCTATAAGAGGAGCGGTCCTCACACCTCCCTGCCTGTCCCCACCTGTCTCTCCCACCATAGGAAAAGGAACAGAACCCAGAACCAGGGACCAGTTACCATCATCACCCTCAAGATACAAGCTGGGCCCTGTCTCTATAAGAGGTCCTTTTGTCACTATGGGGAGTGTGAAGGGTAGGAGAGGCTGCCTGTTGTCCAGCTTGAGAGAAGAAGCCCTTGAACTGGGCACCAGGGAGCTGAGCCAGGAAGACCTTGCTGACTGGGGCCTGACATCCACAGCCCTAGGCTCTCATAGCCCTGTGTGATCCCATAGCACGGGTCCCCTGGAGATGCACAGATGAGAGGCTGAAGACGCCCAGTGAACTCACCTTTCCTGGCAATTCGGATGCAGTTCAGCCGGGTTTCCTGGAAGTACAGACAAAGGGGCTCAGAGACACAAAAGCCAAACCTATGCTCCACAGCTCAGGAACCCCCCCATTGGGATAGCTTGTACTTAGCCAGGGCTCACATGTAAGGTACAAACTGTTAACTATAGAGCTATGTCTTATGAACAATGAGATCGGAGGACACAAAAAACGCCATGGGAAAGTGGGGTGGAGCCTCAGATATGAGGGCAGGAACCAGATCCAGGGGTCTGCTAAAAATTAAACCGCTGGAGCACCAAAGATCCAGAAGCTCAGAGAAGGGGGCAGGGCCCAGGGAGGAGGGGAATTCTGAGGCAGAGGTAGGGCCTGCGACTCTAGTAGTGGGGGCTTCCTTGGAAGAGGCATCTGAGAGAAGGCAGGGCCTCAAGAAGCAAGGGATCCTGGTCAACCGGCGTGTTGGGCCATCATCAGTGGGAAGATGCCTGGTATCAGGAAGGTGTAGCTTAAGGAAAGGAGGTTAGGATACAGAGGAGTCTAGGACTAGGTCTCAGGCCCCAGTGGTAGGTCTCCCCACCCTACAACCCGCTACCCCACTCTACACCACCAGGACCCAGCCAGCCCTTTACCCCTTTCAGGTGGCTTGCCGCCTGGAAGTAGATGAGGTAAGCCTTCCTGGGCTCAAGCGGTGGATTCCAGAAGCCACGATAGGTCTGGTTGTCCCCCACAGTGAAGGGCATGGCCTCAAGCAGGCTGCTGGCAGCCAGCTCAGCCCCAACATAGTGAACCAGGCCTCGAGCCAGTGCTGTCTCAAAGGTCAGAGGTACCGAGAAGCAGTCCTGACCTCCTGGCTCCCGCCGCAACCGCCGTGGTCGCTCTTCCTCCACAACCACCTGGTACACGCTGGTCAGGGAAGAGATGGTGCAAGTGACCACAGGGGGCCCAGACAGCCTTCAGACGGTGAAGGTCAGGGATTTTAAGCTCTGCCTCTTTCTAACCCAGCTTTGGCTGTGGGCTCCTCCAATCCACTGTGGAACTAATTGTAAAGATTTGTCACTCAAATTGGTATAATAAAACATTGGTTGGCCAGTAGCCAGGCAGGAAGTATAGGCAAGATGACCAAACTAAGGATGATGGGAAGGAAAAGGGAGGAGTCTGAGGAGTCACCAGCTGATGCAAAGGGAGCAGGAGATGAACTTACCACGTGAATAAAGGTACCATGTGGCAGAGGGTAAATAAGGAATATGGGTTAACTTAAAATGTAAGAGCTAGTGTTGTATGAAAGGAGAGAAGGTTAGCACTCCCCTTGGCAAGGATGGAAGAAGCCCTTGGGCCTAACAACACGCATATGGTTAAGACATTGCCACCTACTTTGTGGCATCTAACTACTGTTTGCTGGGTATTGGTGGTACACGCCTTTAATCCCAGTACTCGGGAGGCAGAGACAGGTGGATTTCTGTGATTTCAAGGCCAGCCTGGTCTACAGAGCAAGTGCCAGGATAGGCTCCAAAGCTACACAGAGAAACCCTGTCTCGGAAAAAAAAAAAAAAAAAACTAAGAGCTAGTTAGTAATAAGCCTGAGCTATCAGCCAAGCATTTATAATTAATATAAGCCTCTGTGTAGTATTTTAGGAACTGGCGGGAGGGAAAGAAATGTCTGCCTACACGAATATGTGGGGTCTGATATGTTTAAATCTTTCCTGTCAGCCTCCATCACCTGTGACACCCGTTTGGGACACCCCATCTGCCAACCTCTGCTCTGAAAAGTAGGAATGCCTCTGCCTCCCTTCTAGTTTCCAGTGCAAGGAGTCAGTTCACTGCCTGTCACAGAACTTCTGACCAGATCCCTCTCAGCACCCCTCATGCTAGGGCCAAGCCTCTCCCAGCTCCAAACACTCCCAAGAGCTGACAATAATTCACATTAGCCTCAAGCTGAAATAATATCTAAGGAAACGCAGCCTCAGAGAGATGAGGGTCACCCTGCCCACCATGTCCCATCTCCTTATTACAATCTAGCTTGACCAACCCAGCTCACAGAATCCCTCAGGAGGACACTGAGGGAGAAGTTTCCCAAGTCCTCCTTGGTGATGTCACACAAGGACCTGGAGGCTTCAGCAAAGAACACTACACCCTCGGGGTCCTGAGATTCCACAGGGGCCAAGGCAGGCAGTGGTAGCAAACATGGGGGAGACCCAGCAGGTGAGGAAGAAAAGGGAAAGGACAGGGTGAAAAGGTGGAGCAATCCAACCACCTTCACAGGACAACCCTCAGTCCCCACTAAAGAAGGAGACCTAAGTGGCAGAAAGGCTCTGTGACTTCCAAAAGTCACACCTTCTCTCACATCTCCATGCCAAACACACCACAAAAGCAACCCCAAGATGACCCCACTCACACATTCCCCATCTTTACTCCAGAAACAGAGAAAGAGAGAGAGAGAAAGAGAGAGAGAGAGAGAGAGCGCAGAGGGTTTTTTGTGGGTTAGCTGTTAAGACAGCTAACATAGGGGGCTGGAGAGATGGCTCAGAGGTTAAGAGCACTGGTTGCTCTTCCAGAGGTCCTGAGTTCAATTCCCAGCAACCACATGGTGGCTCACAACCATCTACAATGAAATCTGGTGCCCTCTTATGGCCTGTAATCAGACATGCAGGCAGAACACTGTACACATGATAAATAAATATTAAAATGAAAATAAAGACAGCTAACATAGCCGGCAACTTGACTAGACTGAGAAACACCTAGGAGACTGATAAAGCACACTTCTAGGGGTATGCTCAAGGACTTGTCCAGAGAGGGCCACCTAAGAGTGGAAGACCTGTCATGAATGTGGGAGACCATCCCATGGGCTGAGGGGACAGATGGAATAAAGCAGGGAAAGGAGAAAGCCAGTCAGCTGGAACGTAGGTATCCTCCCTCTGCTTCCCAGTTACCCTGAGGTAAACCACTCCCCCACCCCCCATGTGCTTGACACCCTTGGTGTTCTGCCTAACTGCACAGGACCATAGACTGAAGCCTCCGAAACCATGAGTCAAATTAAGCTCTTCCTCCCTTCATTTGCTTTGCAAGTATGTTCAGCGACATGTTCTGCACAGGGTTCCATGAAGCTAACATGACTTTATGCACATGAAGTCCTAGGGCACTGTCAAGCTCACCATGAGTCACACCAGCATGAACCCCACACACTTTCAAACACATGCAGACTCATACTGACACCCCCCCCCCAAGTGCCTCTCAGCTACCTTCACATCTCCATGCGAAACACATCACAAACGCAACAACCCTGAGATGACCCCACTCACACACACTCCCCATCTGACTCTAACACACAGCAGAGGCAGCCATTGTGCCATCAATAATCTCAGAGTCCCCCAGAGAGTGGGGAGCATAAAAGCTATGTGCCAGACCGTCCCCATAGAGATGGCCTTAATTAGCTGGTTCCCTAGCCTTCTACAGGGACACCCATGCCTGTATCTCCAGAAACAGAACTAGCTAGAAAATTCAAGGCCTCAAGATTTTCACTTCTCCTAGGTGTCTAATGAACCACCTTTGGGAGGCCTAATTCCTTCTCCAAACTGGACACTGTCCAGGAAACCCATGAGAGTTACCAGCAGAGACCTGTGATCTTGACGGGAAATGAATGGCTTCAAGCTTTCCACTGCCCAGAATCATGGTATGCCCTCAACCCTGAGCCCAGGCAGGAAATAGGGTAATCAGATGAGAGGCCTGTTGTCTATCCTCTCCGTGCAGGCTTTCCCACCTGATGGGTGCTCCGCGGCCCTGGGCCGGCCTCAGCAGCACTGTGATGGTGTTCTCAGACTCGCCCAGGGGTGACGGCATGTCAGCATAATCAAAGCTGGGAGCTGAGAAGAGACAGGGACACAAGCACTGGGCCAGGAAGACCAGACCTCCAGCCCCCTTACCATCATGTTCCCCTGATTTAAGCTTTCGTGGTCCCTGGACTTACTCACTGACCTCTGATCTCAACCCTCTGATTCCACCCACCATAGTCTCCTGATCCCTCTGATTTAGTCCCTGCTCCTGACTTGAAACCTTTAAATGGTTCGTTTAATCTCAGCAAGGTCCTCTGTACCCACACTAGGCTGCTCCACCCTTCAATATCCTTGGAACCCCAAGACATTAGGCCCCCTCCCAAGGAAGCTCACCTGAGATGTTGGTGGTAATCTCAGTGAGAGCTGCCTGGCCAAAGCCCTTGCTGGTTCGAGCACGCACAGAGAACAGGTAGGTGGTACCAGGGTGCAGGTTGGAGAAGACGTGGTAAGTCTCATTGCGGAGTTTGGAGATGGTGCGCCGTGGGCCAGGCACATTCACTGCTGGGTCCGAGGACTCGATGCTTTGGTAGCTGATCTGAGGGCAGAAGGGGCAGGTAGGAGGAACAGGACAGGGATGGGTGTCACTCACTATCCCAGGAACCCCACCCAGCACCCACTATATTCCATGGAAACTAGAACTCACAGAGCACAGACTCTGACCATCACGGAAGTAGTTTTAAGGCCCACCTCTGTCCTCCCACACCTCCCTCTCCATCACAGCACAGGAAGGAACTTTGACCTCCACCTGGGCCCCTGTTCACCTCATACTGAGTGATGCAGCCATTGGGTTCCTGGGGCTCCTCCCACTTGAGAAAGATCATGTCCTCCAGTGGGGTGAAGGTTAGGGACTCAGCTGCAATCCCACCAGGCACTGTGAGGGAAGGATGGAGGCAGAGGAAAGTGGGCTTTGGGTCCAAATACCAGAGTTCATGCATCAGCCTTGCCTCTTCCTAGCTGTTCTGCTTGGGCCTGTTGGCCTCCCTGAGTCTCAGTCTCTGCAGCAATAAAATGGACACGATGAAGCCCCTCTCTCACCAGAAGTAAATAACGTGAGGTATGCAAAGTTCAAAGCTCACATGGTCCATTCCACAGGGGCCCACGTTTCATGGCCAAGCAGGTTCCATTCAGGCTCTTGCTTAGCTCCAGTTGGTAGCTTTCGTGAAATACAGATATTTACCAGAGAAAGGAAAACAATTGCAATAGGGGGTCGGAATCATGGGTGGAGATGTTTTGCTGTCTAAAAAGATCTTAATTACATAAACAGTCTCAATGAGACGGAAGAAAATTAACAGCACTGACAATTACATCATACACTCGTGCTATGAAAATTTCCTCACAGGAACTGTGAGGTATGGTCAGTTTGGTTTGTATACTCTTAACAAGCATGGCGGGGAGGCAGCTTCTGACTGGGAAAACATTTTGATAACTGCTTGTGAGGAAGTGGAGGTTATCCAACAGGAACAGTGGAAGGGAGAGGAAGAACCAGTGAGAGCTGGGCTGAAGAGTCGGCTTGGTTGAAGCATGAGGACCTGAGTCTGGTCCTCATGACAGACTCAGCACTGGGGGTGTGCATTGTAACTCAGCACTGGGGGTTGTGCATCTGTAGCCCAGCACTGGGGGTGTGCATTGTAACTCAGCACTGGGGGTTGTGCATCTGTAGCCCAGCACTGGAGGTGTGCATTGTAACCCAGCACTGGGGGTGTGCATTGTAACTCAGCACTGGGGGTTGTGCATCTGTAGCCCAGCACTGGAGGTGTGCATTGTAACCCAGCACTGGGGGTGTGCATTGTAACTCAGCACTGGGGGGTGTGCATCTGTAGCCCAGCACTGGGGGTGTGCATTGTAACCCAGCACTGGGGGTGTGCACTGTAACCCAGCACTGGGGGTGTGCACTGTAACCCAGCATTGGGGGTGCATTATAGCCCAGCACTGGGGGTGTGCACTGTAGCCCAGCACTGGGGGTGTGCACTGTAGCCCAGCACTGGGGGTGTGCACTGTAGCCCAGCACTGGGGGCCCAGCACTGGGGGT